GGTGGATTATTTTAGAGAATGGTTTCTTGTAGATTGTCCGTTTCATTTGGACACTCATTTGTCGATGCTGGCTGCTGTGGTTTCTGTTTGCTCTGATTAAAACTTGAATGTCGGTCCTGCATTCCTCTATCRCTTCTAGACCKCGATAGCAAGAACGTAGCAGTTTGGACTCCRGGYTTGTCAGCYGCTTTTYTAAAAGTCAATTGCCAGAAGGCGTTTCGGAAATCCTTGCTCACGACGGAGTATATTATAGGGTTGATGGCAGAGTTCATGATAGTTACCATTACTACAATGTAGTGGATGGTCCAGAAATGATAAAAGGTTTTCATCGGCGGCCAGAAGAAGAACAGTAGGTTAAACAATTGCAGTGGAAGCATGGTCAGTGCAAACGTCACGACGATTGGCGTCAGGATCTTGCGCGCGCGCGCATTGTCACCTGATCGACGACWWTCCTTGTTCTTAGAACCCGATTCCTTTTCCAGGTGTTTGTGAAAGAGGATACTTTTGCGTATTTCCTGCCAGATTCCCAAGTATGTCCAGGAAATGACTGYCAAAGGTACCAGGTATGAGAAGACSACTCGGACCAAGATGTACACCATTTCCAACCATTGAAAAGACGTTTCCTGCCAATTTATTACACAGAGTGTAACACTTTCTCTCACTTCCTGGTATTGATAGACAAAGTGTAAAGGAAGAGAAAGAACAAGAAACGAAACCACCCAGATTGATAYAACACCRCAGATAACAGTTTTAGTAGAGCGGCTTGGACGATGTAGTTCTTTATTCTTAACTATATTTTGATATCGTTGTAATGCTATAGCGGTGATACACCAAATCGACGCACCGAAGAACGTATCAATGACGGGAAACAGATACTCACATACGAATTTACCAAACGGCCAATAATCGGGATGTCGTTCTTTGAGAACACCAAGCGGGAATATGATCGCTAAGACACCAATGTCGGCTATCGCGAGGTTTARTAAGTAAGTGTGCATCGAAGACGGTCCGCGCAGTTTCTTGGAAATWATGACAATGCAGACAAAAACATTTCCTACTACCCCAACGAATGCAATGGCTGTAAAGAACGTTAGTCGGGCTATTGTGGCGCTCGTGGCTTCTTGGTAGTATGCCGGATAGTTGCTGGTCGAGTTATTCCTAGTTATATTCATGGTAAAGGCTTGAAGGCTTGCTACAGTGTGCTCACAATGAGAGAAGTTCTTATTGTTTTAGTTCAAAGCGTTTCTTTGGATATCTCCTTGACGCTGCACTTACGCGTGTTTTTCTGCCTTCGGCTTGCTWAAAATAAAATGAATTCAGAGCAGACTTTAACTCGCACTTGAATTATCTGTGTTAAGTCTCTATACTTTGTCAGTATTTGAAGGGATCCGACTGGCTTCTTAAGCAACGTCACTCTTATGTTTCCACACTTTATCTTGTTGGTTTTAGTGGATAATATGTACCCTCAAGACTTGAAAACACCTACAATCAATCAAAAGGACAAATCAATAACTTGTGCACAAGTTGAAAGGTTGAAAAGAAGTATAAGATGTCGAAAGGTATGCTAGTACCGGCTTGGTATTGTATCCAAAGGACCATGAATACTTGAACAAATTCCGTACCCATCGATAAAACGTATTCAAACTTCGCATTCTTTGAGATTTCGTACTCATTGATATTACTGACGAATTCTTTTTTCTATGTTTTAAATTGTTCTCTCAACAGATGCAATTGCACAGATATCACTTTCAAGTCAGTATTTGATGTATTTCGACGTGGACATGGGGTCTTTCAGATAACCTCTAGCTTTGCTTCTAAATAATGAACCGGCACTTTATCATTTGCGACAAACATATGTCTCGGCAAATGGCTGAGKCTTTGATCGAAGATTAGGAAATTACGTCTGGTCAATTGATGATGACTTTGAGAAAAACAAAAATTGGTGAACGGCTTTAGGCCCGATCCAAACGCAGCCTCACACGTGCCGAAATAAATGCAAATTATTTGGAAAATGTCTGAGGCCTTGAGGCTTTGGACATAGATTCGGAAGTGCGACAGGCTAGTTGACTTCATTTGAACCAAACGTCGTGTCTCACATGTGCTGAATCAATGCAAATTACTTAATTTYTCGGTAAATCCAATTGATTTAACATGAATCAAACGCCGAGTTTCACATGAAGCGAAGTCGTAGCAAATTACGGCKAAATATTTTTCTTGCCTTCAGGCGTCATTTATTTGTTAATTGAATTCAATTCATTGGAAACCTCTGATCCTAGTCTATCATATGTGTATGTGACCTGTTAAACTATGTGGTAAATCAAGAATCGTCTTGAAATCCTGTAACACTGCAAGCTCACAGGTTGACTAACTTCCATGTCAAGGCACTCGGCTGCACCACACTTCATTGAACGTTGTTATCCATCGGACAAATCCCTCAACTTATTCAGCAGAATAATAATTTTATCCACTATTCGCACAACCGGCCCTGAGTTGTAAAAAAATAAATTTATTGGGTAAGAAGCTGGAACTGAGTAGATCCTATCCCTTCGATTACATAGAAGGAGAGAGTTGACTGCGTGGCATCCCAGAATGCAACGCAGGCCGGCTGTATGGAAAGAAGAGCTATTGTAGCATTTGWTCGCTTTAAGACTACATTCACTACAGTCGAAAACGTCTCACTTTTTTACGAAATCAAAACTGAACATTTTATCAGTTTGGAAAGAAGGGATTTTGGCTGAAAACGTGATGTTCAAACCCCGCAAGAAATCGGATCAAGCTTGTGGAAACAGGGCTAGAAATCTCACCACAACAAGTATTCGCTGCGTTTTGAAATTTCGTCTGACGTAACAAAGTAAGATCATTGTATTTTTAGTAAAGCCCGGCGAGTTAAAAGAGGAAATTAGGTAATACCATAATTGATAGTGATGGAGTGATGGCAATGTAGTGAGCCCGCAAAGTCTGTTTGATGAGATCTTTTGGAATTACTTCTGTTAGCCAAACCATTAAAAATAGCCACCGATCCTCAATTAATTCCTTGATAAATTGAATCTATGTAGCACAAGAAACTCACAATCAATTAATGTAAGCTTTATACACAGGGCTGATAACTGTGTTCTTCTAACAGTTAAGCTATGATAATTTCCTAAGCGTAATACTCAGGGATTTTTATGAATACTAATTTTACCGTAAAACTCACCAAGATGAGAAAAGTGTGCCTTTTGAGTCGATGGCTTTCCTTCAACGAAAGTAGAATTAAGTCAGAGAAGACACACTGACATGTGAAGCAATACCTAACGGTCAAGGTGTATTAATCATCAACAGATAGCAATAAATTCAACATAAATAAAAAGGGCGACAAATAAAAAGGACCTTTTGACGTCATTTTAATATAAGGGCAGCAATAACGAGCAAATATTATTGGGCAATATAACTGATATTAGAGTTTTTTACCAAGATGAATAATAAGTAGTGTTTAACCACGAGATTTGTACCGTAATTATTGACGTCATTTYTCTTTTTAACAAAATAATGAGGCAGATGCTCTCGTTCCAWAACATTGTTTGTTTGTTCTTTTTGTTGTTGTTTYCACAATCCGATAAYCATTATGATCGAAACACTGATTGTAAAGTGGTAAAAGGGAAAAAATTGTAGAATAAGTCGAAAGCTCAAAAGCAAAARAAGATGAAGTTAAGATCAATTCAACAGCTAGTGAATGATCATCTTATTACAGAAGAAAAAAATGACTTCCCGAAAACTGACCCGCCATCAATTTATAGACGGACAATATAACTACCGTTTTGTCCTGGCTAGTTCCTGTACATTATAAACAATTTTTGTTTCTCCATTGGRCATAAACGGAGATGCGTTTGTCTTTTATATATGCTTTCTCTCACCTTAAAGACCTGAAAGAAGAGCATTTCTATTCATACCGAAAAAGAAGGCATTATTTCGTAGTTATCGCCATTGAGAGCACCCTCTATTGGTGCGTTAATGTTATCCAAACGTGAATGTATTTGTTGTTAGCATGATTTATCTCAATCAGATWACCAGAGGTGTTCGCAGAAAGCGGATGTGTKACAGTGCGTCACTAATGTACATGAAAGTAGCAGTCCAGCAATGATATATCTTGATTAATTGTGTTATTTTTATCTCAGTAGCGTGGATTTGCAGATTTCCAGCTAACAAAATACCCGGCTTTTAGTCTATTTTATTCATTTCCTCTTGGTTCAACGTACAACACTTTCTCTTTTTTTTCGATTGCTTTTGAAACATTTGTGTTCTTGATTAATTACACTTAGCTCGCAATATTGTTATTTTTATATGTTCTCTGAATGTGTACCATTGAGCTATAAACAAGTGTATTGTGTTTCAAGAGCTCGAACACAAAACCACTCTAAAATGAATGGAAGTTTAACGTTAGTTTCGCAAAAAGTTGTACAAAATGGGAAAGACAGAGAAGGTTGTATTTGTACCGAATTCCACAGTAAAAATCAATCACGACGTGCTCTTATGTCATTTTAGTTTTATAGAATTTAGTCCCAGTGTTTGGGAAACCCTTTTTTCAAACTCCTGGCCCTCTTTTGCTACTTCAAGATCCTTGACACATGCCAAACAGTCCGCAATGTTGCATCAGTCTTCAATTAAGGACTGAACACTCCACTTTACCGATTCGTGACTTAGTTCTGGGACCCCTGCTGCAAGATAGTGCAGCTGAACATGAGTATTTGAGTGCATATTTTCGTGTATACTTAGTTCATAGTTAATTTACGACCGGATAGAAGTAAAGAATACATGTAATAATCTGATCAAATAATAGATAGTTGCTTAAATTCTTAATGGGAATCCGGCTGGAAACCTGTCGGACTAAGATAGCAGCTTTGTCTTGACGTAATGCTAACGGAAGAAGCAAAGCTAAAATGATTCGWAATTTGAGGTTATACAGGTTCACCCTTATGTCAACATGTCTACAAAGTTAAAGATTATCTCATTTGGTTTCACTGAGCATAGAAATTGAATTATATTAGGATTAAGCGAATCAAGGAATTAATAGATGGAAAAATGTTTTCTTTGGGCCTTAAGGTCTAGATTTATTGCGATAAGATCTTTTATATCCTTACAAGTAATGGCTAATTTTTCAAACTTTGACCCAAAAAGCTGTCTTGATGACCACAAATTAAAACCGCGAAGTATTCCATATGCTTCGGTTTTCCCGCCCTTTTGAGTTACGCGCGCGCGCGTYCAACCAAATATCATTTCCCGCCCTTTTTGAGTTCAACCCAATATCAATTTTCACCCTAAAACATCAGTTCATCAAAACAGAACATGCTAGTTACTGTCAACATCATAAGAGTTATATCTGGTATCATACAGTTTGAGGCCAAAGGGCTTTCTAGTTTGACATTTTTTATCGCTGTTTTCGAAGCAATAAAAGCTATCAGTACAGATCTTGTAGAACTAGGGCTTTCAACAAATCTCTTTCCATGTCATGTACTATAACTAAACCGCTGACTGACTTATCTTTTATTTTGMAAGACAGAATGGCTATTGATCGTATTTTTATCTTAATGAAATTAAAAAYAGCATTGAAAGGTTGCTTTGAAATCCTGTTTATCAGTACTTAAAACTGAACCCTCGTAAGGCCATTACAGAGATGCTTTTGGTGTTTTTGCCCCATTAGATTCTAAGCTTTGCTCAGGCCGACATAGTACTGAGCCAGTAGGTGAATAAGTAGACTTCAGACCTGGAAGCGTGCGGCAATTTTCAAAATTATGTATTTATATATATATGTTTTAAATGAATATTTTGTCTAGCTTGTGATATAAACAAAAAGCGAACTTCACAGAATGTTATTCGCGTCTGCAGCCYCTGGCTTCAATTGGTTAGAAACACCACTTCTGAATGCAAAGTCTTGTAATGTTATATTCTTCCAAATCTAATAATAGTTTATTTTGATCATATACTATCGTGTGGTGYTAAAATAACCAAATCATTCATACAATCCACTACTCCAAAAARACATTCACCATCAAATTACCCTGAGGGAGCTAAAATTCATGCTGATAAAAGACCTAACACCCAAACTTCTCCGCGTGAGATTTCTTTATAGCTTCRAAGAAAACTATTAAGATTGATCGTTTTTCCAGACTAATTTTGCAAACTTACAGACGAAAGCCAAGGGCGAGAAAATTGAACCAGATGAAGTCAACATTTTGCGGCATATGCAGTACAAGTCCGCTTTTTTCTTTTCTTTTTCCGGTCCAAACTGCCGCATATTGTTYTTGCTTATATTTTCAAAAGGGAAAACAGAGACCGATGGTTCTTTGCTTTATTGAAAGCCTTTTTTCTCAGAAGTATGACATCACTTTTCATAATTAAGTTAAAATYGTGCAGAAAGTGCAACGGTGTATGTTGACAAATGTACAGACAGGCGTTGTCCTCGTGAACTGTGTAATATTATGATACGGTGATCTTGTGTCTGACAGCCGATGTCTTTACTTATTAAGCTGACTAAACTTTATTTTGTTTATTTGCCTCTTCTTTTCATTTTTTTTAGTTCTATTGAGTGATGTATTTTACAAACAGTTCAGTGGATTATTTTGCACTGATGTAGTTTTTTTGTCTTCGTCTGCTTATTTAGTATTATCCCGCTTAAAAAAAAGTAATTTCTTTTTCCTTTTAAGTTAAATTGGTTATTTATGACATTGTACTATTCTATTGTATTATAAAAGCTGGGTTATTTTGTGCCAACTTCGTTACCTCTTTGATAGTGAAATGCTAATCAGTCCTTCTAGACAAATTTATGCTTGCCTGTATTCTCATTCAAAGTGTTCAACCTTTTTTGATATACAGGGGATAATTGCCTGAAATAATACTTACCTATTTCCTTCGGAAAAATACTTAAAGAGGTTTAAAATCCATTTTTATGGCGCTAAATGGTAAGGCTGTTTACACGAAAATGGCGAGCAGCTATGGCCATTAAGACGCCTCCACACGAACCCGGCACTAAGAGATGGCCTATTGAAAAACACAAGTCTTTCGGGAAAAAGTTTTTCATCGACTTGTTTATCGCTCAAAAACTAGATTAGTTTTAGTCCTTAAGTCCAGATAAGAGGATTTTAATTTGGGGGATTTTTTCAAAGATAAAAATCCAGTTAAGGGTGATAAACYTCTCCTTTCCCTACCCCGGTGAGATTCCCCACAGTCGCCCTYGATCAATATAGGATTAGACAGCTACAGAAACTGCGAATTATATGGAGTCTATTTGTACTGTCAAAAGTATTTTATTATTGAGTTGTTTGGGTTGCGCAAATAAAAAAAGGCTAGCAAAAAAATCTGTGAAAAAGATAGCACTATCACATTTCGTTTCACGGATTTTAAGTCTTGAATCTTGACAAATGGTGAATGAACGTGTATTTTGGTCAAAATGAAAAGATCATTACTCAAACTTAACTCGTTGAATTCGTCTGTTAGACTTGACCGAGAGGGAMGACATGAAAAGTCAATAAAATTAAAGCCTRCTTGAAAATCGAAGCTGGAACTGAGAGAAATGKCCAGGAAARTATTCTATGTGTCTGGTGCAACTAAATTTAATTGTTTTCATATTCAATTTATCCACGCATAGTTAGAATATGCTGTTTCCTTCAATGTGACTATATGTCAGAAAAATCGCGATATATTAATATGATACTTACTGATCGTACAATTTAGAAGTTACTCCGTCATCTAGAAATTTATCATGGAACAAAGTTCTTGGATGTTGTATGTCAAGTCTGAATCAGTGACTAAATTGCTTATCTCAGTCTTCACAACACTTGGGTTCACAACACTTATGTAGACTTATTACGATATGAAATGCTCCTTAGSCCCACAAGGGTCGTTTTGGTCCCACTGTGTTCGGAAGGCAAATAGCAGGATATTTATACCATAGCGAGCACTGATTACATCATTACGTGACGTTGTGATCCATGGCAATACGTGATACGACAGCTCTATGTTTTTTTCATGTACACTAAGAAGTCACACTACCGCTTRTGGCATATGTATGCTCTCTGTTTACWGAAAACACGGTYCTTYTTTGTCTGTGATTTCCTTCCGGAGCGATATCACAGCAAATATATTTGCGCAAAGAAGATAAGACAATAAATCAATAAATATTTTCTCCAAAGATAGCAAAACTCTCCAAAAGTCACTAGTGTTGTACTTATTACGAGTCGCTTGTCGCATTTGCCGAAGAAAGAAAAATGTTAAGAAAATGAGTCAAAAGTCATGATTCGATGGAAGTCGTCGAACTTGGCTGAACGTGAATGATAGCTGAAGAAATGACTCGACAACTGACAAAAACGACTAAAGATAGATCGACTTTGGAGATTAAGACAACTCTTATGTTTTTTTTGCGCATTTAAACGTCCAGAAATCTCTTGCGTAATTTGATAACGGTCTTTTTTGTGCATGATTTTGCGCTGGTTTATGTTGTTTTACGTAAGTRAYCAAAATTAACGTGATCATATCGACGCGTTACTGGTTATTTTCATGTATTTTGYATAGCTTTATTTGCGCACTTGTGTGATTTTCCGCGCCGTTCGAGATTTTGCGGCGATATATTAATGACGTACGTGCAACAGATTCTGACTTCGTTGTTAGTTATAGTTCGCTAGTTATGTCTTTTACGTAGTGTGATTTTCCGCAGTGCGTGATTTTGCGGTGAGTGAAAATATCCTAGTTACTTGCAGCAGATATGATGCGTTTTCTTACTGCGTTACATCATTTTAAATAACTTACGGCTCTTGTTTGATTTTCTCCTACGTGTGATTTTCCGCAGATCGAAAATATCTTAAATACGTACACTAGATAAATAAATAAATAAATAAATAAATAAATTAATAAATTGGTGGTAGCTAATCGCCCATCCTTGCAGCCCGAGTGCTGAATTACGAAGGACGCAGCTCACGTGATCGGGATGTGATCAATTTGATTCATTGTGTAAACTAATGTTATCTTTTGCGTAATTTGTTCACGTTCTTGTACGATTGTCGTGCACTAYTTARCGAGGATTGAARACGTTCTCTTGCGTATTTTACYGCGTAATTTACGTTAACTTCAATGYTAYTTTAGTACGTGATAAGRCGYCAAGCCTTGGGAGTTATGCATGCTATTATTGAAGAGGAGACGCTCTAACACCATCAACTRGGCTAACATCACTTTAATGATTCTCAATATTCACCACGCTTTTAATGATATGATGCTGTTCGAATGATAAATGCTTCTGGCAAAAGTAAACAAGCGTAATGGAATATAAKAAAAAGAACAGTTACATAATATACAATTCACTATTAGAACTCTTTCCATGGAAACAATCCTCTTAGTTACTTGTGTCAATGATTATTATTATAAACATTCAATATATGTATTTCCATAATGGAAACAATAACAGATTAACAAGTGGAAAATGGTTTATTACTGCTTTGGATATTCATATATACTGCCGATATCTTCCTGGACATCTTCCTGGTCAGCCTTCTGGTCATTAACTWAAGTACTATATCTTATCTTCCTATCTAATCGACTTACTGACAAAGTGTTCTTTGTGCACAAAAAAAAACGACTCTTACTAAAAAGTATATAGTTGGCTAGTTAAATTGTTTTGTTTGTTTGTTTTGTGTGTGTGTGTGTTTGTTTAGTGTTGTTGTTATTAATGTTGTTATTATTTTAATCACTAACACCCTATAGTGTCTCAAGAACTAGTGTCTATATAATCTTCCCAATCGCCTCAAAATGCGTTTTGCATTGTTGTTAATTCTAGTGAGAAAACTTGAAATGCGTTTATGGGTAATTGTGATCATCCGGACGACTATACACTGGAAAAAATCGCGCGCTTTAAGGTTGTAAATTTAATGTAAATATGATGTAAGTGTCCAAAATTCTGTAAATTTGATGTAAATGATTTCCATTAAATTTACAGAATTTTGGACAATTACATCATATTTACATCAAATTTACAACCTTTAAAGCGCGCGATTTTTTCCAGTGATAAGGGGCACAAGGCCTAACAATCTACAATTCATACCAAGGAAAGCAATAGGCTAACTGATTTTAACGCTAACGTCAATTAGGAGTGTTATTGTAGAATTTCATGATCAAATACAAAAAGAAGAAGAATTCGAGGCTGATCACGTTTTCACAAATTTTGCAGTTTACGGTAGTCAATATGGTTCAGGTATTTGATTTTCTTTCTTTTGTGACTTTTTCTGACAAAGCGTAAATTCGTGTGATGACGTACCTTGTTTACTTTTTTTTCATCCAAGACTTTACAATCCCAATGTCTTTTTAACGGCTTTCATTTTAAAGTTGACGTTGAATTACTACCCAACCTACAAAAGGTCTAATTTCTAGTGTAGATTATGAAGAACGGGTTTTGAATTCAGCATCGATGTTGATCGATAAAGCGTTGTTAAATCGCTTACACTTAGTAGATAAAGAGAGTGTTTTTTTAATAGCAGTTTACTCGGCCAACACGGTTTGATCATGCGCAATGAAGACAACATCCAATACTAATTACCAGGATGTATAAAATAATGACCAAACTCAATCTCTGATGTCATGGAAATATCAAAAATCCATTAATTTTTATTGCATGCTATAACCTTATTTTCTACCTGTCTTACTTAAAATGAGATAGCGTTTATATGTTGTCAATGTGGTAAGAGTCGAGTGTTCTCCTGCTATTGAGTATATTTTAGATTCAGAAGGTATACGCTATCGTGTATTTCAAGTGTACTGTTCACAATATAACYCGAATMCAAAGCGCAATATGACCGTTTGATTTCCGCGTCGTTTTGAWAAGATGAAAAGCAAGCATTAATRAAAAAAAAGTGTTTTTAGTAATATAATATGTAAGAATTATTCTGTATCTATCTGTTTAATAATCTATGAAGAACCGATATCTTTTTTGAGGGGTTTAAAACTTATAAATTTTCTTGTTGGCCCTAGGTGTATTTACATGGTCTTGTTCAGAATACGATTGCCTTGATTAAAGTCTTGTATTTGCTTGTGGCCTTTCGTGCGACTCCTGATTTAAAAGCTTAACAAACTCGTCCAAACCGTCCTTTCGATATGATATATGTTAAATAATTGAAGTCATAACACTTAAATTATCAACGACTCTATCAGATAACCATTCAGTACTTATCATCCTGGTCAGGACCAGTAATTTTCCAGGCATGCACAGGTAAACTGACCTAACTGAAAMGTTTCGAACAATTTGAATGTAGTTATGGTCATTCAAAAAGGAATTCACAAATAATAGATAGAAAAGTGAAACGAAAGAAGGGAGAAAGAARRRGCGGAAGACGCAATGAAAGAATAAGGAAAAGCAAACCAAAGAGTAAGTACAAAACAATTGAAAATGWAGCAAACACTGAAAGTACACTGATAGATATATACTGTGAACTAAGCTCCAATTATCCGCCATCTTTGCARGGGAATCGTATGTGTCATCAACGCTTTAAAGCGCTTATCACTTCGATTTACACCCGAATCCTTTAGCTAAAATTTGAATGTWGTTATCTCTGTGCAGAACTAAGCTGAATAATCCGCTTTAATTATCAAGCTTAGGCGATATGGTAAAAGCTTAACTCAAGTCTCTTGAATCAAAGACTTTTTGCTTAACATGGCTTATGAGGTTTTATTGAGATACTGCCGGTGGATCGCCAGGGATCGAATTAATGGAGAACATCGGGACAGAACAATGTTTACATGCAACTCTGCGGTGCTTTAGTTTTCCTCGTTGCGTTCTGAGGGTTTGGCTTTTAACTGCTGATGCAACTATCAGATAAATGAGCTCTTGGTGGGGGCTTACGAAAATGAACGTACACTTGAGTAAGCCATTAAATTGAAACATGACAAGTGTAGAAAAAAACATACCTGACATTTCAAGTGTATTTTATTCTTTTTTTTTTTTTTTTTTTTGGGGGGGGGCGTTCATTTGACGTGGTATTAAAGTTCGACATTCGGAGTGTAATCCTATTTTGATGAGTCTATCGTAGTTCAGATTATCTAAATTAAACCAAAAATGTATCAATCGATTCTACTTTTATATTTGTACTTTTTAGTCATAGAAGGAGTTGTTATTGGGATCGCCAGTAGATCGTTTAATCTCGACTGCTGTATTTAGG